AGAAGCTCCTCTTCACAGGTCCCCCTGCTTGCACTTCTGGCCCCTCCCTCTTGTAGGGTGCCCCCTCAGCAAGCAGCTTGCTATGGGGGTCCCTGAACAGACATACTCCTGAGCCACGGCTCTGCGTGTCCATTCACACACACAGAACCGTGAATCAGCCCCGCCACCTCCCTCTCCTGATTGGCTCAGTAATACCCCCACTCAGCAGATCCCCTGCTCATCAGTACCCCTGTTCAGCAGATCCCCAACCTATTAGTACCCTAGTCCAGCAGATCATCTGCTCACTAGTACCCCCAGCTCTGATGTCCCACTCAGTAGTACCCTCAACTTTGCTGATCCCCCACTCAATGGTAACCCCCAACTCAGCTGATCCACTGTTCAGTAGTAACCCACAACTCTGCTGATCCTCCTCTCTCACCTTTCCCTGCTCACTTCCCACTATATTGCTCCCATGCTGTACACCACATGTGACATCTGCTAGTTTTTTCTGCTCTGGTCCCCCAGCTCTGCTGACTGTCCACTGCTCAGTCTTTTGTCTCTGGTCCGCGCTCTCCTTTTGCTAGAACGTTCCCATGTTGTGCACCACGTGTGCCGTCTGTTAGTTGCTCTGTTCCAGTCTGGACTCTGAACGCCTTCCTGCTGCTCCATGCTGCACACCAGACACCCCCAGAATGTATACACATGATTTAGAAGTGATTGCTGATGACGTCTTTCTGGTTTTCTCGCTGATTTCCCAAAGCATCCTGGGATATCTCATACCTCCAAAAAAAGCAAAATTAACTGAATAAAAGGCCTGTTAGCGAGTGTTGTGATAGACTTCTATGGAGGCTTTGGAGACGCTATGAAGCGCCAAGAAAGTGACATAGCGATAATTTTTAAAGCAAAGCAAACAACAGTGTGAACAGGACTGTAAGGTAACTATTTTATTTAGTGAAAGGTGCTTTTATTGGTATTCAGAGTGCTTTAAAAGAGCATGTCAAATGCCACATTTTGAAGCACGTGTAAACAAGGCCAAATAGCTTTTTAGGCTGCTTATTGTTTTATTTATTTCAGGTACTTCTATAGCATTGTCAATTTACGCAGCGCTTTACATATATATATATATATATTGTACATTCACATCAGTCCCTAACCCTCAAGGGGCGTACAAACTAAGGTCGCTAACTTTCATTCATACATACACATACTAGGGCCAATTTGGACAGGAATCAATTCACCTACCAGCATGTCTTCGGAGTGGGGGGGAGGAAACCGGAGTACCCAGAGGGAACCCACGTAGGCACAGGGAGAACATGCAAACTCCAGGCAGGTGGTGCCGTGGTTGGGATTCGAACCAATGACCCTAGTACTGCCAGGTAGAAGTGCCAGCCATTTAGCCACTGTGCTGCCCATAGTAACTCAACCATCTTTACACAAGTGTCCAAAGGGAGCATCAAGTCAACAAGCTTTCCAGATGCACCTACTATCTCACAGTTTTAAAGATGAGGCGTGTGGCTGATAACTGAGCACACACAGATTGTAAAACTCAACTTGCCAGAACAAAAAAGGTGGAAAACGCAGCATTACCCTGTAACTATGTGAAATGTGTTCTCTGCTGGCTGTTGAACAATTATCCTTCACCTTTCAAGTATATTGCCAGATGTGGTAAAGCAGTTTCTTTTTATCTGCAGTTATCTGTGCCGTAAAAAGCTCAAACAAGCAAATGTGCTGTACTTTCTGTTCTAAAAACTATTGTGGGGAGATACAATAGCTGTCAGTTCATTCTGTGTTAGGTTCTGGTTAATACACGATTTTTGTTTGTGTGTTTTTTTTTCCTTTTTCCAGATGTATTAACTAAAATACATTAGACATTTTAAGTGCATTTCTGACGCATGATGTTCTATATTAGGAAGATTTAGCACTTTATCAAAGGAGAAGTTCACCTTTTGTGAAAAAATAAAATAAATGCACATCTTTGCAGGTAACAAATGGGCATCTATAATTTTTTTACACTGCAGCCTGTAAGGCATTGCACCCGCGATCAGCCAGTGCAATGCCAGGAACTACAGAAAGAAACAATGAACTACAAGAGTGGTCAGCAGCACCCTCCCAGTTCATTGAGAACCACAAGCTGCCTGCTGCAGTAGAAGATGGTACTTGTTGTTCACTCATTCACAGGAATCTGTGAATGAATAACGATGCTGTGTGGGCAAAGCCCTGCATAGATGTGCTGTTTTTGAATTATGACAGCAGATGCAGGGAGAAGGTCCCCCAACCGTGGTCACAGGGGAAGGTGAGGGGAATGTGGACAGGTACTGTACTGTGACATGTTACACCCAAACACAGGTGTAACATGTTACAATGGTGAACTTATCCTTTAAATTTGCTGTCTGTTCATCCACAGAGGCCAATCTAATCACCAGGAATGAAGTTCATCCAATCTTCAGAGAAGAGTGACATCAGCTAGAATGTAGTCTATCCATTATCCAGGGATCATTAGCATCGCTGAAAGTGTAGTCTTTGCATGCCACAGGGAAAATTAAAATCACAAAAAAGAAAAAAAAAAAAAAAGGGAAGGCATCCATTTTCCTGATATCACCCTGCCTTACCCATTCCCCACAGACCGGAGAACACTCCCTATCTCTTCCTCAAAGACTGACAACCCTTCCACCCTTAGCCTATTCATCACCCCCAGACCAGCAAATAACACCATGAGAACATAGCCTGTCCTTTCCCCACAGACCAGCAAAAAAATAGTGGACAGCCATTCTTTAAAACCTATCCCTTCCTCAAAGACTGGCAACCCTCCACCCCCCCAAGACCTTAGCCTATTCATTACCCCCAGACCAGAAAATAAAACCATGAGGATATAGCCTGTCCTTTCCCCACAGACCAGCAATAAAAATACTGAGGACAGACATTATTTAAAGAACATCAACATTACTACTAAAAATACAGCTTTTCCATTCCCAAAAAAATACATTAATAAAAAAAAAAATAGAAAAAATTACTGAACACACAACCCTTTCATTTCCCAGACAACAGTTACACTGTGGCAGGACCTGGGTCACCTGCTGGTGGCACCGTGGTTCCCACAGCAGAAGAGTGTAGTTCCAGTGGCCACCTGATCCCAGTAATCAGCCTCCAACTGATGCTGGCCGCTAAGATGGTGTATAACCCTTTCCTTAACATCCTTCATTGGCTCAGTGTTTTGCTTGTATGCCGATTACACGGTTATTGCTGCTCCTGACCATGATCCTGATTTATGCTGTGATTCTGTTCCAGTATCTGCATTCTGTGCCCTGCTACTTCAAATCTTCTTCCCTTGTTCCTGATCCAAGTTCTGACCTCCTTCCAGATCCATCTCCTTGAAAATCCTGTTTCAGGATTCATTTAGATGTGAGGTTGGAGGGCAGAAAAATGCATTATTGAATCGCATTTTTGACACCCAAAAACCCCCCCCCCCCCTTTAAGCTGCAATGGCAGCAAACCCCTGAACACAAAACATTCAAGCAAATGGGGAAGCACTCCATTTGCAGATCATGCTTCAGAAGCAATGTAGATTTTGATGCACATCTAAATCTACCCTCACCTTGTTTATCCGTGTTCCCCATTTTGTGAATATTGTATTATAGCTAGGTATTTTGTCACCTGGTTTATGTACATCTTTTGCTGTGTATTCAGTTGGCTGGTGTTGGATGCGTTTTGTTTCATTGCTAATAAATCTTACTTTAATAATACACCGTCTGGTTTCAGTTCAGCTACACTGATGTGTTCATCCCCGCGGATGCTGGATACCGGAACTCAATATCTCTCACACACCATGTAGTTTATTTACTAAAGCTGGAGAATGCAAAATCAGGCTCTCTTCTGCATAGAAACCAATCAGCTTCCAGGTTTTATTACCATGGTGACACTATACTGCTAGGATGACAGTATGTAAAAAAAAAAACAAATATAAAAAATTAAATAAAAATGTAAAAAAAAAAAATGTTTAAAAATTATAATTTTTGGTTATAAACTAATTTGGGTTATTTTTTTTTTCACTAAAAAGATAACGGAATAATTTTTGGCAAAGATTTATGATGAAATATTATTTGCAAAATTTTATAAGAAAAACACTTTTTTCAAAATTTTGGGACATTTCATTTACATAGCAAAAAAACTAAAAATCCCAGCGGTGAATAAATACCGCTAAAATAAAGCTTTATCTTTCTCAAAAAAATGCTAAAAATTCATATGGGTACAGTGTTGCATGACTGCGCAATTGTCATTCAAAGTGTGATAGCGCTGAAAGCTGAAAATTGGCCTGGACAGGAAGGGGGTGAAAGTGTCCGGACAGGAAGTGGTTAAAGAAAAAAAAAAAACAACCTTTATCATCTGCAAGCAGCAAATATCAAATTTAAACAGAATGGGGTAGCTAACATGACATCACTGCTCCGCCTTTCCACATCGCAAAGCATTCTCTGAATGGCTACCATGCTGAGTGGCTGACCTCCTGTGTTCAGAGTGCAGCAGGGCAGTCACTTGGCACAAGACCCAGAAGCAGGCGGCGATCACTGTAGTAGTGGTTTTGATTTCAGGGATTTCCAGCTTCCAGGGGCACAAGCCGGGTATGGTATATACATACTTACAATGGTTCAAGCTGCACCAATGTAACTATGTATAAAATAAAAAGAGCATAATGAGCCATGCAGCCCTTCTTAGAAAGCAAAATACAGCAAATGACAGATATTTAAAAAAAAAAAAAAAAAAAAAATATCGTGCAAGAGTGGTCCAAATCCAACATTTGCTTGCTGCTACAAAGTTATCGGTCTCAGAAAATTCCCATTGAAAAAACCTCTGAATGCAGTAACGTGCTAACAGTCAGGAGCTCAATATCACGCTTTAGTTAACCCAACGTGACCCAGTCATTACAATTATCACTGAAACCTGGCAGCCCCCCCACTCCCAGTTAAACCGCAGCGGAAGCAAGGAGATTTACAATAGGGTGTTAATTGGAAGAAAAAAAAAATTCTTACCTGTCAGGGATTCCAAGTCTTTTCACACTTCTATAAACCGAGAGTGTATTTGCTACATGACGATAATTAAACCAGAATCGAGAGGTACAGACCTGTTAAGAAGAAGAAAAAAAAGTTAACATAACTGAATATCAAATGTTCAACTGCAGTTATCTCAATGCGTTTAATTCCATATGAATTGTTTAACCAATTCAATACCGGGCAATTGTACCCCTTCCTGCCCAGGCCAGTTTTCAGGTTTCAGCGCTCTCACACTTTGAATGACAATTGCGCAGTCATACAACATTGTACCCAAACTAAAATTTTATTATTTTCTTCACACAACTAGAGCTTTCTTTTGGTGGTATTTAATCACCGCCGGGGTTTTTATTTTTTGCTAAATTAACAAAAAAAGACCAAAAATTTTGAAAAAAAAAAAAAGTTTCTTTGTTTCTGTTATAAAAGTTTGCAAATAAATAATTGTTCTTCATAAATTTAGGCCGAGATGTATTCTGCTACATGTCTTTGGTGAAAATAACCCAAATTAGGATGTATTTTTTAGTTTGTAGGAAGTTATAGAGTTCACAAACTATGGTATAGATCTGATTATTGATCAATCCTGAAGTACTGACAGCCAATCTAATTTCTTGAGGTCCAAGAATGTCAGAATAGTACAGATATCCCCCAAATGACCCTTTTTGCAGAGTAGACAGTCCGACGTACTTCATAAGAGGCATGGCGAGTTTTTTGAAGTTGTATTTTTTTTGTCATAATTTTTCGAAAAATTAAAAAATTAAAAAAAATTAGTTTCACTATTTTTTTTTACATATTGTCACCAGTGCAGTACAGCATCATCATATAACTGGCATGGCGGTGATCAGGGACACTGACTGGTGAAAGTATGAAAAAAAAAATTTATTTTTTTTTATTTCTTTTATTATTTTTTATTAAATTTGTTTTCTTTTTTTTAAGATTTTTTTTCATATTTCACTATGAGCAAAGTAGTACAATGTTACCATAGTAACATTGTACTACTTTGGGGAAGTGATCAGTATTTTTTTTTTTTTTTTTTTTTTTTTACAATTTGCTTATAGCAAATTACTTTGCTATAAGCAAGCATTTACCTGAATGACATTCCATTCACAGCTAGACACTAGTATACAATGGATGGCATGAATGAAGCCATCCATTGTATACAACTGTCATGTGACCTGCTGTGATTGGTCACAGCAGGTCACATGGTACCGGCAATGGGGCCAATACTCACATCTGTCACATCTGTGACAGTTCGCGCCGCTCTGCAGGAGCGCAATCTGCGCATGTGCGGGGGGACGCCACATGGCGTCCACCCGAAATGCTGATGACATTTGCCGCACACCATTCGGCCATAAGGCGGGCGGCAAATGGTTAAGAAAAAAAATATATCCATACACACAAAATATACAAACACACACACACTTCATTGCAATACTCAACTTTTCCTTGGACGGTCTGCCGAGTCCAATAGCTGCCACCAAACTTCCATGTTTAACTCTTCCACGTTTAAAAAAATAATAATTTGAGGCCTGAAGATTACTTCAAACCCCCAAACATTCTATGTTTTCTGAAAGCAGAGACCATGGAGAATAATATAATGGTAGTCCCAATTTTTTCTCTTCCTTTTCCACAAGGGACACTTTAAAAGCCTTGTGAATAATGGTTTTAATATCATTGTTCTCACGCGACGTGCAGAGATATGTAACATGTAGACAAACAACGTTTTTGTATGTAGGCGCTCCAACAGGTGTGACTATTCTGAAATCCGTCTTCTCCTGCTCTACCTCCCGCCAGCGTTCAGCTGCTACAGGAGGAAAATGTTCGCTATGCTATTCAAAATATAAAAAATGAGAAATTACGAACCATTTCATTTCATTGTGGCCCGTGACCGGTTACCCAATCACTGAAGTGGCCCTTGCTCTTCAGAAGGCTGAGTTCCCTTGCTATAAACAGTCAAGCTTGGGAGAAAAGTGCTAGATGATGTTGGACGTCCTCCTGCCAGAAAATGAGGCAGGTTCTAAGTGACTTCCTGCAGCTTCTAATGCACACTGTGAAATTCTTTGGTATTTCCTGTATTTCCCTTCATCTAAAACTAGGAGCATCTATGCCTCTTGTCCCGATCAGCAGTGTTCACTGGAGGGGTGGCATTGGGGGAGGAAGCTTTCTACTGAACTAGAAGACAGACGCACCTCACTGAAGGGAAGTAATGTTCCCTATGCTTATTTTGTATTTTTTTTTCTTTTGTTACTTGGCTTTAAACATGTATGATAAAGGTAATGTGCGTAATCCGAATGTGGGCCCAGCAGGGGGCAATAAGCCAATGCCTTAAAAAGTATCTGAAGACATGAAGGGGGTTATTTACTAAAACTGTGTGGTGCAAAATCAGGTGCAGCTCTACATAGAAACTAATCAGCTTCCAGGTTTTTTATTTTTTTACCAAAGCTTAAAGCGATACTAAAGGTTTATTTTTTTTTTCCTGTAAAATAAAAAGCATTATTATTATACAGGATTTATATATCGCCAACAGTTTGCTCAGCGCTTACTTACCTGCTGTTTGCAGTGGTTTTGCACAGAGCAGCCTGGGTCCTCTTCTTCTCGGGTCCCCTGCCAGAACTCCTGGCTCCTCTTTTCTGTCGCGTGCCCCCATAGCAAGCAGTTTGCTACGGGGCACCCAAGCAGGCTGTTCTGAAGCTGCAGCTCCGTGTGTTCATTCACACATGGAGACGCAGCTTGGCCCCGCCCCCTCACTCTCTGCACTGGCTGTGATTGACAGTAGCAGGAGCTTGCTGTCTCAGCCAATGAGGAGGTAGAGACACGGACAGCCGAGGCTGTTGTACACATTAATGAATCGTGATGGGGCCCAGGTAAGATTTGAGGGTGCTGGGGGCACTTCTGAACACAGAAGGGTTTTTTGTAAAAAACCTTCAGCCTTTATAACCACTTTAATTGAACAAGCTGAACTTAGAAGCCGATTGGCTACCGTGCACAGCTACACCAGATGCGAGTGCTCCAGTGTTAGTAAATCTCCCCCACTTTTTCCTCGATACTTAGGCTCTCTCCTCTCCATTGACGTGCATTCTTTTCTTTCGTACAATTCCATTTATGCTGTTTTCCCAGTTCTAAAATATTTATTATCCCTACTGCTATCTGAGGGTCAGACAGTGGGAAGGTATACAAAACGGTTTCTGTCTTGCCCTCTATTATGCACATAGGAAAATACTTCTTAGATGGAAGGCTCCTGCGCCGCCGACTGTTTCAGTGTGGTGGGCTTCTCTTAATTCTATTCTACCACTGTAATCTTACATACCCAGAAACTGCCCCAAAAAGTTTGACAAAATTTAGTCCGACTGGATAGATTCTTTGGGCTCTGTGCTGAATCATGTTTCTCCTCCTAACCCAGGGCTTGACATTTCCACTCGCCTGCTCGCCAATGGCGAGTGGAAATTATGATGGGGGCGAGTGTCCCCCCCCAGGGCCGTATTGCTGTGCAGGCTCGGAGCTCAGGCCGGATCTGTCATTGGCACTGAGAGCCGTCAGACTGCTCAGTAGCTGAGCGCAGTGAAAGCAAAGCAAGGAGTGTGTGCTGTGCTCTCTGCCTCCCCCTAGAGTGCAGTACCCGGATCTGTGAGTGAACAACGAAGTACTGCAACTTTTTAGGGGGGGGGGTGTGTGCGTGTATGTACATGTACATGTGTGTGTGTTTGTGTGTGTCTGTGTATGCATGTACAATTGTACAAGTGTCTGTGTGTATGTACGTGTGTATCTGTACATGTGTCTGTGTATGTATGTACATGTATGTATGTACATGTATGTGTCTGTGTCTGTGTATGTATGTACGTACGTACATGTGTCTGTGTATGTACATGTGTCTGTGTATGTATGTACGTACGTACGTACGTACATGTGTCTGTGTATGTATGTACGTGTACGTACATGTGTCTGTGTATGTATGTACGTACGTACGTACATGTGTCTGTGTATGTATGTATGTACGTACGTACATGTGTCTGTGTATGTATGTACGTACGTACGTACGTACATGTGTCTGTGTATGTATGTACGTGTACGTACATGTGTCTGTGTATGTATGTACGTACGTACGTACATGTGTCTGTGTATGTATGTACGTGTACATGTGTCTGTGTATGTATGTACGTGTACGTACATGTGTCTGTGTATGTATGTACGTACGTACGTACATGTGTCTGTGTATGTATGTACGTGTACGTACATGTGTCTGTGTATGTATGTACGTACGTGTACATGTGTCTGTGTGTGTATGTGTACGTACATGTGTCTGTGTATGTATGTGTACGTACATGTGTCTGTGTATGTGTACGTACGTACATGTGTCTGTGTATGTATGTACGTACGTACATGTGTCTGTGTATGTATGTACGTACAGTACATGTGTCTGTGTATGTATGTACGTACATGTGTCTGTGTATGTATGTACGTACATGTGTCTGTGTATGTATGTACGTACATGTGTCTGTGTATGTATGTACGTACATGTGTCTGTGTATGTACATGTGTACATGTGTCTGTGTATGTGTACGTACATGTGTCTGTGTATGTATGTACGTACATGTGTCTGTGTATGTGTACGTACATGTGTCCGTGTATGTATGTACGTACATGTGTCTGTGTATGTACGTACATGTGTCTGTGTGTATTTCTGTGTATGTACATGTATCTGTGTGTATGTGTGTCTGTACGTGCCTGTATGTGTATACATGTGTCTGTATGTGTGTGTGTACATGTGTCTCAGTGCTTGTGTACATGTTTCTGTGTGTGTGTGTGTGTGTGTACATACATGTCTGTGTGTGTGTATGTATGTACGTACATGTGTCATATATGTACATGTGTTGTGTATTTCTTGTATGTACATGTAAATGCTCTGTAGTTTGTATGTGTATAGTAGTGTCTGTATGTGTGTGTTACAGCCCTGTCCTAACCTAGATGTTGAACACTGACATGTATGTCTCGCTCTAGTAACTCTAAGGCCTGGCTAGTAGCTCAGGACTTGTTTTAAGCCCTGCCCTAACCTAGATGTTGAACACTGATCTATGTCTCG